GCAAGCTGGTCAGAGTTGACAAAATGGATGGAACCAAATACAAGGCAATCTTAGAAGAAATCCTGTTAGAGTCTACAAAAGACTTGAGACTGGGATGGAGGTTCACCTTCCAGCAGGACAAAGACCCTAAACATATAGCCAGAGCTACAATGGAATGGTTTAGGTCAGAGCATATGCATGTGTTAGAATGGCCCAGTCAAAGTCCAGACCAAAATCCAATTGAGAATCTGTGGCAAGACTTAAAAATTGTGGTTCACAGTTGCTCTTCATCCAATCTGACAGAGCTTGAACTATTTTGCAAAAGAATGATGGTCAAAAATTCCACTCTAGATGTGCAAAGCTGGTAGAGACATACCTAAAAATGCTTGCAGCTGTAATTTCAGCGAAAGGTGGCTCTACAAAAGTATTGACTCACGGTGGCTGAATACAAATGCACGCCACACTTTTCACATATTTATTTATAAAAAAAAAAAAAAAATGTTGAAATCCATTTATCATTTTCCTCCCACTTCAGAATTACAGTGAGGAACAGAAGGATTTGAACACCCTGCGATTTTGCAAATTCTCCCAATTTGAAATCATGGAGGGGTTTGAAATTCACATTGTAGGTGCATTCCCACTCTGAGAGACAGAATTTAAAAAACAATTCAGGAAATCACATTGTATGATTTTTAAAGAATTTATTTGTCTTTCACTGCTGAACATAAATATTTGAACACCTTAGAAAATCAGTGTTAATATTTGGTACAGAAGCATTTGCTTGCAATTACAGAGGTCAAACGTTTCCTGTAGTTCTTGACCAGGTTTGCACACACTGCAACAGGGATTTTGGCCCACTCCTCCACACAGATCTGCTCTAGATCTGTCAGGTTTTGGGGCTGTCGCTGAGAAACACGGAGTTTCAGCTCCCTCCAAAGATGTTCTATTGGATTTAGGTCTGGAGACTGGCTAGGCCACTCCAGAACCTTGACATGCTTCTTACGGAGCCACTCCTTGGTTATCCTGGCTGTGTGCTTCGGGTCATTGTCATGTCAGAAGACCCAGCCACGACCCATCTTCAATGCTCTGAGGGAAGGAGGTTGTTGCGCAAAATCTCACACTAAATGACCCCATTCATCCTCTCCTTAATACAGTGCAGTCGTCCTGTCCCCTTGGCAGAAAAGCACTCCCAAAGCATGATGTTACCACCCCCATGCTTCACAGTAGGGATAGTGTTCTTGGGATGCAACTCATCCTTCTTTTTCCTCCAAACACGACGAGTGAAGTTTAGACCAAAACGTTCTACTTTGGTCTCATCTGACCACATGACTTTCTCCCATGCCTCCTCTGGATCATCCAGATGGTCATTGGCAAACTTCAGATGGGCCTGGACATGTGAGGACTTGAGCAGGGAAACCTTCCGTGCAATGCATGATTTGAAACCATGACGGCGTAGTGTTCTACCGACAGTGACCTTTGAAACTGTGGTCTCAGCTCTCTTCATGTCATTGACCAGCTCCTCCTTTGTAGTTCTGGGCTAATTCCTCACCTTTCTTATCATCAATGATACCCCACGAGGTGAGATCTTGCATGGAGCCCGAGTCCGAGGGAGACTGACAGTCGTCTTTAGCCTCTTCCATTTTCTAACAATTGCTCCAACAGTTGATCTATTTTCACCAAGCTGCTTGGCAATTGCCCCGTAGCCCTTTCCAGCCTTGTGGAGGTCCACAATTTTGTCTCTGGTGTCTTTTGACAGCTCTTTCGTCTTGCCCATGGTAGTAGTTGGCGTCTGACTGACTGTGGGGTGGACAGGTGTCTTTAAAGAGCTCAGACAGGTGCTACTAAGTTAGATTAATGAGTGGAGTAGAGGTGGACTTTTTAAAGGCACAGTAACAGGTCTTTGAGAGACAGAATTCTTCCTGTTTCTTAGGTGTTCAAATACTTATGTTCAGCAGTGCAAGACAAATAAATTCTTTAAAAATCATACAATGTGATTTCCTGAATTGTTTTTTAAATTCTGTCTCTCAGAGTGCGAATGCACCTACAATGTGAATTTCAGACCCCTCCATGATTTCTGAGTGGGAGAACTTGAAAAAAATCGCAGTGTTCAAATACTTCTGTTCACCAACATTCAGCTCCTGCCGCTAAATAAACCAAGCGGCTGAGCCACCAGACGACATCACCGGGTGACCCCCCACCCCTTCTGACCTCATTGATCTAGCATGCCATGGTCAATGACATCAATAGGGGGTGGGGTTCCCCATGTTGAGTGCCTGGTATGGTTCTGGGCTGCATGCTCGGATAAGGGTCTGCTATAGATTTTGGGAAGGACCCACTCCATTTTTTTAAAAAATCTTGGCGTGGGGTTCCCCTTAAAATCCACAACATACCCGTAGGGCTTGGTTTGGACTGGAGGGACCCCCAAACTGTTATTTTCAACCTTTTCTAAATGCCAGCAATTCTTTTGTTTACATTCTGCTGTCAGCGGGGAATCCCACTGATAGCAGATGAGTCCTAGTCGTTAAGGACATGGGCAGCCTTAGCAAACAACTATTTACTGGTTAAGGACGCTGGCTGGTTCCGGCTCCTTGACACCCAGCTGAAATAGAATACATACTTTAACTATAGCATGCCTGGACCACTTCTTATTTATCACATGCATTTACTTATTTCATAGTTACATAGTTAGTCTGGTTGAAAAAATACAAGTACGTTATACAATCCCATATACACAATCCTACGTATACCTACACTTGATCCAGAAGAAGGAAAAAAAAAAAACCCCCAGCAAAGCATGATCCAATTTCCTCCAGCAGGGAAAAAAATTCCTTCCTGATCCCCCAAGAGGCAATTGGATATTCCCTGGATCAACTTTACCCATAAATGTTAGTATCCATTTATATTATGTGCATTTAGGAAAGAAACCAAGCCTGTTTTAAAGCAATCTACTGAAATGGCCAGAACCAGCTCTTAAGGGAGCATATTCCACATTTTCACAGCTCTTCCTGTGAAAACGCCTTTCCGTATTTGAGTGCCCCCATGTCCTCTGTGATGACCTTAAAGTGAATAACTCTACACAGAGTTCACTATATGGACCACCAATGTATTTATACATGTTGATCATATATTCCCTTCTCAAGAATAAATTCAGTTCCTCTAATCTTTCTTCATAGCTGAGCTCCTCTATGCCTCTTATTGGTTGCCCTTCTCTGCATTTTCTCCAGTTCCTGGATATTCTTTTTGTGAATTGGTGCAAAAACTGAACTGCATATTCCAGATGCAGTCTTACTAATGATTTGTACAGGGGTAAAATGATATCTCTGTCTCTCGAGTCCATACCTCTGTTAAAATAAGAAAGGATTTTGCTCGCATTAGAAACTGCAGCTTGGCATTGCATGCCATTATTAGGCTTGTGACCTACCAGAACTCCCAGATCCTTCTCCACCATTGATTCCCCTAGTTGTACTCCCCCTAGTATGTATGATGCATCCATATTCTTAGCCCCAAATGCATAACTTTAAATTTATCAACACTAAAGCTCATTTGCCACATAGTTGCCCAATTAAACAGTGCATTGAGGTCAGCTTGTAGGTTGAATACATCCCGTAAGGATGTTATTCCACTGCAATCGCTTGGTGTTACCTTCTAAAGACTGAAATGTTACTTTTCATCCCAGACCCTATATCATTTATAAATATATTAAAAAGTAAGAGTCCCGACACTGAACTTGGGGTACACCACTAACAACCCTGGACCATTCAGAGTATAAATCAGTAACCACTACTCTCTGAATATGGTCTTTTATCCAGTTTTCTATCCATTTACAAACTGATTTTCCAAGCCTGTAGACTTTACCTTACACATTAGCCATGTGTGGGGAACTGTGTCAAATGCTTTGGCAAAATCCAAAGTTTACTACATCCACAGTCACCCCTCTGTCCAAGGTTTTGCTCACCTCCTCATAAAAAGAAATCAGATTTGTTTGACAACTTCTGTCTTTCATGAATCCATGCTGTCTGTTGCTTAAAATATTTTTTTCCAGCAAAAATATGTGGTCAATAAATTAAACTCTCCAGTATCTTCCGAACTACACAAGTTAAACTAACAGGTCTATAGTTACTTGGTAAAGACTTTGACCCCTTTTTAAATATAAGAACCACATTGGCCTTACGCCAATCCAGTGGTACTATGGAAGTCATTAAAGAGTCCCTAAACATTAGAAGTAATGGCTTTAAAATGACAGAGCTCAATTCTTTTGGGACCCGTGGGTGTATGCCATTTGGTCCAGGTGCTTTATTCACTTTTTTTCTCTCTAAATACTTCTGGACCATATCAATTTTGAGCCATTGTGGATCATTTGGAGCTGTGTTAATATCATTCCTATTATGGACCTAAAGAATGCTCCTTTGTATATACAGACATTAAGAAGGTATTTACGTAATACATTTGCCTTATCTTTGTCCTCAGTCACCCACTCTAGATTATATTGTAAAGGGCCTTCATGCCCAGACCTGCCCTTTTTACTATTAATATATTTGAAAATTTTTGTGGTTGTCTTATTATCTTTTGCAATCTGTAGCTAGTTTTGAATTTTGGCGGCCCCGATTTCCTTTTTTTAGATCCTTGGAAATTTGTTCTCTCAAATTTGAGTGTTTTATTTCCTTTAGTGAATTGACTTTAAAGACGTTTTATGCGATATTTACTGAGCATTTTTGCTTTTTGAGGTAAATACTGCATGAAGGGATAGTGAATTGAAATTTTCAGTATTGCAAGCTGTGTTTGGGAAAAATGCGTCAGATCACCTAAAAACTGCATGCGATCTGCTTTAGTGAATTGAGCCCAGTGTTTCTTGCACTACGAAAGCTGGTAAGTATAATATCTAATTTTTTTTCCATGCAGGTCTTTTAAAAACTTTTACTCTGTATTTTAATGCAGGGCATTTAAAAAGCAGACCTTGCAGGGAAAACTTTAACATCATGATATAGCTGAACTGAACATTGACATTCTTCCACAAAACTAACCTTCAGCTCAAATACTGGTGTGTCAATACTTTCGGCACCATGGCGTTTAAAACACTTCTCTACTATGTTGAATACCTTCCCACGAATAGCCATCTGTTTAGGGTGAACATCATGTGTTCCCTATAAAAAACAAGACAAACAGGAAAATATAAATCTGCTAATTATCCTTTTATTCACTTTAACTTATGATGGAAAAGAGCTACAAAAAAGGAAACATTTACTTTTGGAGCCTTGAGTACAGGGTTTTGCTTTTTCTCTCCGCAAATTGACTTTGCAGTTGCATCTTCATGTGCAAATACCCTTCTTGTAGCCTGAAAATGGAAACAGAGGGTCATCCATATAAGAAAATAAAGTAAAACATTGCTTATAAAAAGTGGGCAGACTACAGAGTATATATATCAAAATGAAGATATAAAAAGATGGCTGTGGCTTCAATAATAAATCCCTACCCAAGAGCAAATGTTGCTACGGGAAAGGTTTTTTAAAATGGGCAGTGGTTTAGGGGTAGGAAGGGAGAATTACAGTACAGAACAGTGACATAGGGTGCTGGAGAATGGTGCCGTAGATCATGGAGGGGGAAACATGCATCCAAGACTCCTAGAAGTTTTGAATGCTGTAGAGTCTGGTGGAGGCTGCAGTGCTGGAATAGGGTGAAGAAAGGAAACACTGGCGGTCGGAGTAATGAACATAATACCTCTTTTTTTGAAAGGGAACTTTTAACTGGATTTTGTTAAAGAATAAGTTCACCTTTTAGTAAAAAATGCACTTTTTTTTGCAGGTAAAAAAATGTGCATTTATTATTTCTGTCTGCAGGAGCATGTAAACCATTGCACCAGCAATCAGCAAATTGCTGGTGCCATGCAGGTCTCCTGCAGATCTGTCAGTATAACTGCTGGCCTGTACAGGATATACAAGTAAGCAGATATACCGACAGGAAGAATGAAGGAACAACCACGGTGCTTCACAGCGCCAGGTAGTTCACTGAGGACGAAGAGCTGACAGCCGCAAAGGCTGTCAGGACTTGTAGTCTCTCATTCACAGAGGACTGTGATTGAGTGACGAGGCCAGGAGTTTTTTTTTTTTTTGACAGCTGCAGGTTGTCAAAGTGGGAAGCAGGGAACGGTCTGATTGTAATATTCTACATGTTACACCCTGAATATGGGTGTAACAAGTTACAAAAGGGGAACGTATCCTTTAAGGGCCTGTCGCTTTACTGTTCCCTGCAACAAAAGTCGTATGTTACTCACAGCACTGGAGACCTGCCTACCTTCATGCCAATATGGCGCTACAGCCTCTGACAGACTCTTCAGCATTTCACACTTCTAGGAGTGCTGGATACTTATGTCCCCACTGTCTGGACCCCCTAAATCACTGCTGTGTCCTGCAATGAAGAAAGGTTCCTTCCTTCAGACCCTATGTCCCTGCAAAGAGAAGGAATTGCAGGCATGGGCCACTGACATTCAACAGGACTTTTTTTTAATTTACTCTTTTACTACTGATTACAGTCCAGCCCCCAAACAGTCTGATGGAAAGTGAACAGGACCTGTGTTTAAAAAAATCTGTGGACCGCTCAAAAGACATGCGGATGCCAGTACTGTTCTCCTGGGGGGCTAACTGGAAAAAGCTGTAGAGCAAGGAACTGCCTGCTTCATTCATGCTCTGGACTTTTGCCCCTCTCCTGCAATTTCTTGAATATTACCCCACCAGTCATCAGATCATTAGTCAATAGGAGGGCAAAGAGAATAGCATTTTTATTTCCACTTGCCTCTGACACGGGTGCATTTTTTTTATTTACTCCTACTGGTCACAGTCCAGCTCCCAAACAGTCTGACAGTGAACAGACACTTTGTTTAAAACATTTGGAGAACCCCTCAAAAGACTTGATGTCACTACTGTGCTGCTTAATGTTTATCTTGCAGCTAGCTAAAGAAAGCTGCATGATGACCTGCAATGCAAGGATCTCCCTACTTCAATAAGCAGTAGGAGTGGTGGAGGTAACAAAGGTCCACAAAGTGAATGAATATTACCCACCCAGTCCATGGATCACTAAGCTTCAGGAAGACAGCTCAGAATTTAGCAAGCAAAGGCCAGCTCCTCAACAAGGCATAGTAAATCCAAGTAATACTGGTGGCTAGTCCTTTGTATTTTGCTTTCCTATTCTGAGCATAAAGAGTTTTTTACGTTATTGGGGTTATTAAAGAATAATTCCAGGCATCGGCTCTACATGTCCTGGGCATCAGGCAATAGGAATCGAACATCCCTGGACACAGGAAGAATGATAAGTGGAAAAAGGTTGATATGGAAGTCATTTCAAAGCACTTGTGTAATTTATAGGCATTTACCTGAAAACTGCGACAAGCAGCCACTGCACTTGCAGCTGTGGAACAAACTACCTTTCTCTGGCCAACTAGCAAGTTCCAGCATAACGTTGATCGGCATATCAAGGTTGCCATTTTAAATTCTGCAGGCTTCTTAAATATAGCTCATTCTTCAGCTCAAACCATACGGGGTTTACATTTTCTATGACCCATAATCAGTCAGTCATTCTGTTAATATGCTCTACATCAAAAAGGTTGGGTAATGCATAAACCTAGAAAAAAAATATTAATATTATAAAAATGGTAATAAAATATATTTTAAAAATTGCATAGTGCAGCTAATGACTAAAAGTCATATAAAAAAAAAGTATATAAAAGAAAAAAATGTGGTGCGTGATCTCATCATAAATAGAACCATAAGCTTTAAAAACACAAAGTGACAGTCCAAGAAAATGTTTTATTTTTCCAGTAATAAACGTCCAATCCAGTATATGCTGTGTTATCATCCAGCAATAATCAACACCATGCTTGACTTGTGACCCCACTCCCTGCTCACCTTGACCTATAGATTATAATAGGCCAAAAACTCACTTTAGAAGGAAAATATGTCTCCAAATTTCTGATCCATGACGTGTTCCTTCCATGTATTATGGTTCTTTAAACTCCAGATCCGTGCAAAATAAAACAAACACATACCATAGTGCAACAACATTTTATAAACCCAAAAATTAAATGTGTTACATTATCCACTCACATTAAACACAATTTATGCAACTTGGAATTATAGTGAACATATATGCATTACTCCACCGTGCCGACTATATTGTGATGTTTCCCATCACCGGGTAGGTGCACCATGCACTCACCTTCTTCCCTGACCTAGCAAATAGGTCATACACGCTTAGGGATGAAACCAAATTCTGCTTATCCACTGCTGATCCTTAGTGGCTACTTCATTAGTTTTGGCCCTTTAAGGGAACATGCTCTGGGATATCCAGTGGAATTAAGGTGTATATGATCAAAAATAAAAGGAATGTATCATAGTGCAACCCCATAAAATATGAACACTTTATTCAAATAAAAAATGCACTCACAAAAGTAATGAATCAAAAGCATATCACAGCCATCAATCAAAATGGTTCCTCATATCAGTGTCAGAGTGACCTCTAAACTCCTAGAACGCTTAGTCTACAATCGCCTGAGCTCCCACCTCACCGACAACAACCTTCTTGACCCTTTATAGTCTGGCTTTCACTCACTACACTCCACTGAAACTGCCCTACTAAAACTCACTAATGATCTAATAATAGCTAAAACCAGTGGCCGCTACTCTGTACTCTTACTACTTGACCTCTCTGTGGCTTTTGATACTGTTGACCATCCCCCTCCTGCTCAAAAAACTCCACTCTCGGTCTCAGAGACTCTGCTCTCTCCTGGTTCTCCTCCTACCTATCGCAGTGCTCCTTCAGAGTTACCTTAACGCTCCCTCAAGATTTCAGCCACTCTCACTTCTCCATCCAGATCAATAACACAATCATCAGTCCCTCCCCTCATGCCAGGGTGCTAGATGTAATCCTAGACTCCCATCTGTCCTTTCAGCCCCAAATCCAATCACTGTCCAAATCTTGTAGACTTCACCTCCACAACATCTCCAAGATACGTCCGTTCCTAACCTCAGAAACTACTAAGCAACTTATTCACTCCCTTGTTATATCTCGCCTTGACTATTGTAACTTCCTCCTCATTGGCCTACGAATCGCAGGCTATCCCCTCTTCAGTCTATCATGAGTGCTGCTGCCAGACTTATCCACCTTACTAACCATTCTGTATCAGCCACCTCTCTCTGCCAATCCCTCCACTGGCTTCCCATTGCCCAACGGATAAAATTCAAAGAAATAACAATAATGTATAAAGCCATTTATAACTCTGCCCCAAATTACATCAACAATCTTGTCTCTAAATATCACCCAAATCGTACTCTCTGCTCCTCGCAAGACCTCCTGCTCTCTAGCTCCCTTGTCTCCTCCTCCCATGCTCGTCTCCAGGACTTTTCCAGAACTTCCCCCATCCTCTGGAACTCTCTACCCCAATTTATCAGACTATCTCCTACTCTGCTCACTTTTAGGCGATCTCCGAAAACCTATCTCTTCAGGGAAGCCTATCCTGCCCTCAGCTAATAATGGAATCTTCTACTCTTCCAAACAGTCCATCCCCCACAATTACTACCTTTTATACCACTAGCCCCTCCCTCCTAGATTGTAAGCTCCAAGGAGCAGGGCCCTCCTTTCCTTCTTGTATTGAACTGTATTGTTGCTGTACTGTCTCCTGTTATATTGTAAAGCGCTGAGCAAACTGTTGGCGCTATATAAATCCTGTATAATAATAATAATAATTGTTCCTTCTTGTCTAGGGGTGATATACTCACCTAATCGGTTGATCCTCCCAGTGCAAGACCAGTCCCTGCCACCCCCGAAACCCCCCCCCCGCAATCTAGCAGTCTTGTGCGGTGGACTGATTTCATCATGCCCACAGACCGGCTCTGGGTGTGAGGATGGCAGGAACAATTCACTGCTGAATGTAGGGGAGCGCCATTTTTCAGAGGATCGAAAGATCAGGTAAGTATAAGTTCTGTGTTCACCCCTAGACAAAACAAGTAGTTAATCCATGCGGTGTGGGCAAAGCCCCACTGCAGGAGACAATTTTGTTTCCTCAGAGTTCCGCTTTAACATGGGACTTACAACAACAAAAAATTTATTAAATGCCAAGCCCTGGTTCTCCATTTTAGCGACAATAAACTCTGCATTCCCTGAAATCAGCCTGGATATGATAATCTTTACAAAGTTCAACCACTTATTAATTCCCCCCCCCCCCCAAATTTGCAGTTGTATATCCCTCACAAATATATTTGTGTTGATGAATCCATTTCACTTGCAGGCTAGGAATAAAACAGTACATCCCCAGTAAAAAGGGCCAGATATGGGATGAAGCTACACAAGCTCTGTGAAAGGGCCAAAAGGTATACATATGCCTTCCATGTGTATGAAGGCAAAGATAGCCAGCTCCAGGCCCTTGACTGCGCAACCTATATTGGGACAAGTGGAAAAATTGTCTAGGACCTAACATTTCCACTAATCCAATAGGGGTATCACCTCTACCTGGATAAATTTTACACAAGCTACCTCTTCTCCGCCTCCTGTACCTCCAGAAACTCTTGACCTGCGGTACAACGAACCAATCAGAAAGGCTTTCCACAAAGGCTGGTGATCACAAGGCTACAAGGGGGAGAATCAGAGAGTTTGAGGAACGAAGAAGTGTTGACCATAAAGTAGAGGGATAAGCGAGATGTATATGTCCTGTCCTCCATTAACAAAAACACCTCAGTGAACAGACTTCATGAGCAACAATTCCCACAGAATATTCCACCCACAGATAGAGGTCGAAGATGGCCAAAAATACGTTAGGTATGCAGCAGAGAGGGAGTTAGGCGAGACACTTGTTTTCACTGTCCCCAATGTCCCTCCCAACCAGGTTTATGCATAGGAGACTGCTTTCAACTTTACCACACTTTACCACACTTCACTAAGATATTAGTGAAGGTATAGTGAACTGATAGCCTGCCATTTCCCTGTTTCTAATGTCCTCTGTGTTGATCATTTGCCTGAGCCTTGACAGACCATACCTCTACTTTCCGCCTGATATAACCCTGACCTGTTTATCAACCATGTCTCAGCCTGCTGCCTGAACTGACCCTGGCCTGTTAATTGACCATGCTTTTTGCCTGCATCTGGAATGACCTTATTCCCTGACACTGTTGTAGTCGGATTCAAGATAACACAAGGATCTCACGTATGCAAGGGGCTTCAGTGTAGTGTTTTGAGTGGGAAAAAAAACTGTTTTTTGTTTTATCCCGGTTGTGTATTTCCTGGATCAGGGTCTTGAGTCTTTAAGGAGCTTAGGGTGGGAAGAAGCCTCTACCTCAGGTCTCATCTGACCAAGGCCCTAATTCTAAAGTTTCTGCCTGCTGCCATCTGACCCTGGCCTGTTAATTGACCATGCCTCTGCCTGCAGCCTGGATGTCATCCTGCTGTCTTTACGGAGCCTGGACCAATTATTGACCATGTTCTTGCCTTCTGCCTGGACCAGTCCTTTGGCTATTTGCTGACCATGCCTCTGCCTACTGCCTAGACAATTCCTTTGGCTGTTGCCAAAGAAAATCTCTGCTTGCTGCCTGGACCAATACTTTATCTGCTTGCTAACCACGCACCAGTACTGACCCATCTACACGTCCCATTCATTCTCTGTGACAACTGCTCTACAAAAAACACTGGTAATCTTATTTTTTACCCTTTGTTCAGCCTCCTGTACTTCTTGGACAGTGAACATACTGTAGCACTGTGCTGTGGGGCAGCCACATACCAGTAGGTTAGGCTTGCTTGGCTTTTTGGAACAGAAACTGCTGAAGATGAAGCTACACTACACTATATTCACTGACCACTCTTACAGAGGTGACCAATACAGTACATTGTTTTCTATATGGTGCTTTTCTGTACAGTGCTGATTAAATTTTGTGTTACACAGGTTGCAATGTTGGGTACATAATCAGTCCAGACATTGAAAAGGTATTATGCATGTTGTATCCCCATACTTGAGAGGAATAGCAGAATGTATTTTGTTGCATATTTTTAAGTATGTCAATGTTTTGGATTAGAAATAGCTCCTAGATTGACAACTTTGTTTTTTAAAAAAATACATTTTCATTTTCTTTCCACATTTTCCAAGAACTTGTGACAAAAAAAGATATGTTCAAAAGACTCATTGTGCCTCTTAGAAAATACATTGGGGTGTTTGTGCTCTAAAATATGGACATTTTGTGGACATTTCCACTGTCCTGGTGCTCCAGGGCCTCCAAAAATGTGATAGGTAGTCAGGAAATCAAATGTGTTATATACAGTACAGTGCTCAACATAAATGAGTACATCCCAACAGATTTGTCATAAAACCTTTACGGTCCTTTCAGAATAAACATTTTCTATGGAGCACTATACTACAAAATACTCCCACAAATGCGGGCCATTGATTGCAAACAAGATTTGTTAATTTGCACACAAAATGTAATTTTCCTAACAAATTCATTCAACACCATGTTGCAAAAATGAATACACCCCAATGAAAGTCTTAGGAACAAAGCTAAATTTTAGACAACAAAATCCTAATTAAGAATAATTCAACTACAGGTGAGTTTAGTTATTCATTAAACAGGTGTCCAGCAGACAGTTGATTATAAAAGGGCGTTACTTAACAAAGAAAACCCCTTCCCATTTCATGCTGTCAGCAATGGCACCACATGGAAGAGAAATGTCACAAGGCCTGAGAAAGAAAATAATTTTTTTACACAAGAAAGGTGAAGGCTACAAGAACATCAGCAAAGCTTTACTTATCAGTCAGAATACTGTAGCAAATGTGATCCAAAATTTAACAAAGATGGAACTGCAACCATATCACAGAGACGTCCATGCTATCCACGGAAGCTAACACCTTGACAGGAGCATCTTCTGATGAGAAGGGTTGAAGAAAATCACCATGCAGTTAGCTACAGAAGTAGAAAGCCAAACTGGGGTGATTGTTTCCTGTTACACAATACGGCTTATACTGCAGAAGAATGGCATGCATGGGTGTCGTCCACGAAAGAAGCCTCTCCTAAAGCCCATGCACAAAAAGCCCACCTAGAATTTGCCAGGGACCACACTGAAAAAGAAGAAGACTACTGGGACTCTACTCTGGAGTGATGAGACCAAGATAAATATTTTTGGAACTGATGGCTTCAAAACTGTATGGCGTCGCAAAGGTGAGGAGTACAAAGAAAAATGCATTGTGCCTACAGCGAAACATGGTAGTGTCACTGTCCATCTGTGGGGCTGCATGAGTGCTGCTGGTGTCGGGGAGCTGCATTTCATTGATGGTATCATGAATTCTCAGTTGTACTGCTCTATATTGAAAGAGAAGATGCTACCATCACTCCATGCACTTTTCCAACATGACAATGATCCAAAACACACATCTAAGGCCACTGTTGCATTTCTGAAAAAGAACAGCAGAAGTGATTCAGTGGCCAAGTATGTCTCTTGATCTGAACCCAATCGAACACCTATAGAAAATTCTGAAGAGACAAGTTGAGCATCACTCTCCATCCAGGATCCAGGCTCGACTTCTTCAAGAAGTCGTTCTTGAAGAATCTAAAAAAGACAGATGTTACAACATGTCGCCAACGTGTTCATTCCATGCCTAGAAGACTTGGTGGTGTCCTTACAAATCATGGAGTCATACAAAATACTAGATGTAGTAATTTTTGCTGTGGGGTGTATTCATTTTTTGCATCAACTAATTTGAGTAAAACAGAAGATTTTGTAATCTAAGTTATATTATTAACCTTACTTTCATGTACTGATCTAAACAAATGTTTTACAAAACTCAGTTTTGTCAACATTTTGGAAATTGTTCTTGTGTTCATTGAGATATTAAAATCTTACTTTTCAAAAGGGGTGTACTAATTTATGGTGTATGCCCCTAGAATGCCTAAAGATGCTCCTTTTATTTTTGGCCTCTGTGTGGCTAGGCTGTGAAAAAGTCTCACATGTGGTATTGCCATACTTAGGTCTAGTAGCAGAATGTATTCTGGGGTGTAATTCTTGGTATGCCAATGCTGTGTGTTAGGAATATCTTAAAGATGTCTAACTTTGTGTAGAAAAATAGTTTTACATTTTCTTTCCACATTTTTCAGAAATTTGTGGAAACAAAATGACATGTTCAAAAGACTTATTATGCATATAGAATATGTTGGGGCGTTTGCTTTCCATAATGTGGTCATTTTCTGGGTGTTTTCACTGTCCAGGGCCTCCACAAATGTGATAGGCAGGGTGTTAGAAGTATCCTAGGAAATTAGATGGATCATTTATGTGTAATTTAAGGTGCCTGAACCGGATGGCATACACCCACGGGTCCTTAAAGAATTGAGCTCTGTCATTTCAAAGCCATTGTTTCTAATTTTCAAGGATTCTTTAAAGACTGGCATAGTACCACTGGATTGGCATAAGGCCAATGTGATGCCAATATTTAAAAAGGGGTCACAATCTTTACCAAGTAATTAAAGACCTGTTAGTTTAACTTCTATATTTGGGAAGATACTGGAGAGTTTAGTAAAAGACCACATAGATGAGTTCTTGCTGGAAAAAATATTTTAAGGAATAGACAGCATGGATTCATGAAAGACAGAAGTTGTCAAACAAATCTGATTTCTTTTTATGAGGAGGTGAGCAAAACCTTGGACAGAGAGGGGGTGGCGGTGGACGTTGTATACTCGGATTTTGTAAAAGCGTTTGACACAGTTCCCCACACATGGCTAATGTGTAAGTAAAGTCTAGAGGCTTGGAAAAATCCGTATGTAAATGGATAGAAAACTGGCTAAAAGATTGTATTGAAAGAGTAGTGGTTAATGATTCATACTCTGAATGGTCTAGGGTTGCCAGTGGTGTACCCCAGGGTTCAGTGTTGGGACCCTTACTTTTTAATATATTTATAAACAATATAGGGTCTGAGATTAAAAATCCCATTTCAGTCTTTGCAGATGACACCAAGCTGTGTAGTGGAATAATGTCCTTACAGGATGTCTCCAATTTACAAGCCAACCTCAATGCACTGTTTAATTGGGCAACTATGTGGCAAATGAGGTTTAATGTTGATAAATGTAAGGTGATGCTCTTGGGGGCTAAGAATATGCATGCATCATACATACTAGGGGGGGTACAACTGGGGGAATCAATGGTGAGTGAGGATCTGGGAGTTCTGGTAGATCACAAGCTTAATAATGGTATGCAATGCCAAGCTGCGGTTTCTAAAGCAAGCAAAATTCTCTTGTATTAAAAGAGGTATATACTGCAGAGAGAGAGAGATATCATTTTACCCCTGTACAAATCATTAGTAAAACCTCATCTGGAATATGTAATTCAGTTTTGGGCACCAATTCACAAAAAGAACATTGAGAAACTGGAGAAAGTACATAGAAATGCAACCAACTGATAAGAGGCATGGAGGAGCTCAGCTATGAGGAAAGATTAGAGGAATTGAATTTATTCTCTCTTGAGAAAAGAAGATTAAGGGGGGGATATGATGAACATGTATAAATACATCAGTGGTTCACATAGTGAACTCGGTGTAGAGTTATTCACCCTGAGGTCATCACAGAGGACAAGGGGGCACTATTTACATCTGGAGGAAAATAAATGTAATCTCCAAACATGGAAAGGTTTCTTTACAGTGAGAGCTGTGAAAATGTGGAATAGACTCCCTCAAGAGTTGGTTCTGGCCAGCTCAGTGGATTGTTTAACCACTAGCCTACTGGGCACTTATACCCCCTTCCTGCCCAGGCCAATTTTCAGCTTTCAGTGCTGTCGCACTTTGAATGATAATTGCGCTGTCATGCAACACTGTACCCATATGAAATTTTTATCATTTTTTTTTTAGACAGATTGCGCTTTCTTTTGGTGGTATTTAATCACCTCTGGGTTTTTTTATTTTTTGCTAAACAAACCAAAAACAACTGAAAATTTTGAAAAAAAAGAATTCTTAGCTTTTGTTTTAAAATTTTGGAAATAAGTGATTTTTCTCCTTCACTGATATGAGCTAATGAGGCTGCAGTGATGGACACTGATAGGTGGCACTGATGAGGAGGCACTGGTAGGCGGCACTGATGGGCATTGACAGGCATCACTGATGGGCACTGAAAGGCAGCACTGATATATGACACTGATAGGCAGCACTGATAAGCGGCACTGACTGGCACTGTTAGGTGGCACTGACAGGCACTGATAGTCGGCACTGATTGGCAGCACTGATAGCATTGATAGGTGGCACTTACTGGCACTGATAGGTGACACTGAAAGGCTGCTCAGATGAGCACTGATATGTGGCATTGATGTGCACTGGTAGGCACCGATATGTGGCACTGATGGGCACTGGCAGGTGGCACTGATGAGCAATGACAGCTGGCATTGATGGACACTGACAGGTGGCACTGCTGGGGCTACAATGATCATCAGGTCACACTGATCATCAGTGCCCTGATGATTAGTGTACATGTCTTCTCTAAGGAATACTGATTACCGGTTCTCCTCTTGAGCCGTCAGCGTGAAAACTCGTGAGGAGAGAAATGCCGATAACCGGCATTTCCCTATTTACATGAGATCAGCTGTGATTAGACACAGCTGATGACATGACCGAGCCAAAATCTTCGGCTCTTTTTGTTGATTGGGGATCCGCTGTGTCCGGAGCTGCGCATGCGTGGTTAGAATGGGAGGACATCATATGACGTCCTCCCAGAATGAGAGAACCACCTGGCGCCCGTCATTACCTTATATGGCAGGCGGGAGGTGGTTAAAAAAGGTCTGGATTGTTTCTTAGATACACAGAATATAACTTGATACTAACATTTATAGGTAAAGTTGATCCAGGGAATATCCAATTGCCTCTTGGGGGATCAGGAAGGATTTTTTTCCCCTGCAGGAGCAAATTTGATCATGCTTTGCTGTTTTTTTTTTGCCTTCCTCTGGATCAACTGTGGGTATACGATTATAATTTTTTTTTTGTTTTTTTAATGGCTGAACTGGATGGACTTTTGTCTTTTTTCAGCCAGACTAACTAATGCAGGCCATTTAGATCCTTGAAGAGAAAAATGTGCCAATTTGATTTTTTTTCGTGGTCCGAAAAACGAATCCCGGCCGATTATCTTATCGTTACCATGGGACGATTTTGTCGGCCCAAAGTGTATTTTGGACTTTCACATCATATCGGGTTGAGTGAAATTTTCGAAAAACGCCCGACCCTTTATCCTCATTGATGGTATTAACGAAGGGGTCCTGTGTCGTTTCCGTGGAAACGAAAAAGGATCACAAAGGCACACAGTCCTTTGAGAATCATTTCCCGTTTCTAGGTTACTCATTAAAGCTTCACCGATTTGATTCGTAATAATGGTGGTGCTGTCAAATAAGTTTTTTGATTCGTGATGAGTCCGTTTCCAGCTGGTAGTTCGTTACAGCACCCGCTGCCGACGAAATCTGCCGTTGTGCAATCCCAACAATAGGCCTGCATAAGTCTCACATATGTGGTGTCCCCCACTTGAGAGGAGTAGCAGAATGTGTTTTGGGGTGTAATTGCAAGTATGCTTCTGCTGTGTGGGAGAAATAACTTGCTAAAATGACAATTTCGTGAAAAAAAAAAAAACAAAAAAAAAAAAAACATTTTCTTTGATTTTTTCATTTTTCAAAGATATGTGGGGAAAAAAATTAAAAAAAATTCCTCATACCTCTTACGAAATCTCTTGAGGTGTCTAGCTTCCAAAAAGTGGTCAATTGGGGGCATTTGTACTGTGTTGGCATTTTAGGGGCCTCAAGAAATGAGATAGGCAGTCACTACATCAGGATTGATTAACTGCTTCCCTGCCACTCTATAGCAGAACTACTGCTACAGGGCGGCAAGGCTACGCAAAATCACATACATATACGTAATTTAGCATTTCCGGATAGGGGGGTTCAGCGTGTGCTGCCCTACCCGTGCCATCATTGGTGGCTATAGCTGTCGATTACCGGGTCCCGGGCCAGATATTCCCCGCCGGAAGCCTGTGATTGTCGAACACGGACAGGGGAGAGGTCTGTATGTAAACAATACAGATCTCTTCCCTGTCAGCACCAGCATGCTGCTTTATATTGCTCTGCATAGGGCACCCTGGCCTATTGATCCACTTGTCTACAACAGCCTGTAAGGTTTTCCATGAATGAATGGCGGCAACACTAATCATTGTGTTCTGCCAGCAGGGAAGGCTCCCCACTGGCAGAACACAATTGCTCAGCAGGAGGGATAACCCCCATCAAAAATGACTCTGTTGATGGGGGAGATCAATCGATTTTCTTTCCTTCCAGACATGGTGGAAAGCAAGACATGGGCTGCATTGGGCTTTACATTTCATTAGCATTTTGAAAAAAAAATGGAGGGAAGGCAAAATATATGCAACTATAATGATGAAATATTAACTTACCTAAAATAATATTGCTACAACCTGAAGTAGATATACAAGGGCAGTCTTTGAAAAGTGTGCAGACTTGCTAGGTCCAACTCCTTCTTCAGCTCATGGACTTGTGTGTGGAGTGATATGTTCCTGGATCACTATCATTGTAAAATGTTCCATCAGACTAACACAAGTGCACAATAAACCAGCAACCATATCCCTGAGCTTTCCTGTAGCTGCCTGCACTCCATGTGATTGTGTCACCTCCAGAGGAAGTAGACCTTCTAGTACTCCTTCTGTCCCATCAGACATGAATGAACTGCCCCAGCTAAGGACATCTCATAGGAACCATCGGGGTTATATAACTCCCGCCTACTGCACACATAAGCACATTTCGCCTACACCTATAAATCATTCATTTACAATGTTTCTTTAGCTTTTCTCGCAACTAACGCCACATTGCCCACATCAAAGATGGCGGAACTAAAACCGTACACACCCTCTAGTGTTCATGAAGTTGCACACAATTACTAACATATTATCGTTGTTTAGATACTATGTATATCTATTGTGAAATGCTAATATTACTCGATATTGTTTGGTGTAAGTTGAGTAGTTTACGGTCACACACATTTTCAGAAATCCAAAAGTACCAAGCGAATTGCATGCCGGGGGTGGAGATACTCTGCTTGTATGTCGGGGCGGAACTAGATCCCTCACGGCGACGGGGGCGGAGTTTTCACCGCATTACCTCATCTAGTGCGACTGCTGGCTTTAAAGCAAGGGGAAAGATGGCGTCGGGAAGTGGGGTAAGGAGGTGCTGGGGATTGATAGTAGTCGTGTGTTTATGGTGTGAGCTGGGGATGGAGAAGCTGGTAGAAAAGCGTTGATGTGTTCTGAGTTTTTGTTTTCAGAGAGTTTCCATAGGCTAGTAATTGGCTGCAAATGCATAATGCAGGTTTTTCCTATGCATCTTCATAGTTCTAGGGTCAGAATTAAAGTGTTACTAAACCCAGGACCCTGCACTCACTATATCTGGCCTCCCACAGTACACACAACATGGAAGTGCAATTATTTTAATAAATATAAACTGCTAAACACCCTTTCTCATCAGCAGTTTGGACCAGTCTTGTGACTTCTATCAGTGCCCAGCAGAACACTGGTTAAAACTTGTAGGAGGAGTTTTCATTCTCCCCTGATTGTCCTATGAGGCTGCATAACACCTGACCCTCTACCTGGACAGCGCTGATGGGCTGTGCTGATCACATGTACTCTCCCAAGAAAAAAAAAAAATCTCTTTAGCAATTCACACCAAACTGAACATGTGTAGAGTGCCTACTAGGGCTCTGTACTACCAGCAGATGGATTGAGGACTGAAGGGGAGGATCAGAGAAGACCGGATCAAGCATCCTTTTAACAAAAGGTGGAGGGTTAATCCCTTAGGTTCCACAGTGAGTATAACAATCATGCTTCACTGCATATACAGACTGAGTTTACTGTTGTGGGTTTAGTAACACTTTAAAGTAACTTTTTTTTATTGATTTGCATAGAGTAGGTTAAATGGAATTTTACCCCCTGCTTATTTTTTTTAACCCCCTCTTACCATGCTTGCTGGTTTACAATAAACATACTTGGATGCTCAGTGAATCCAGAGATGTCTCCTGAGGTACCGCTTTCTCTTGATAGTTGGCTGTCTCTTCCTGTTTCTTGCAGCTGCCCCCTGCTACGGCACGTCATCACAGGGACAGGTATAAGCCTTGACTCACATATATGTGAATTTGGATGCATTTTGAACTACACCAATTCGCATGACATGTGAAATAAAACACTTTTCTGCAGAGGCCATTCACCTACTCAACGGCCACTTTATTAGGCACTCCTGTTCAATTGCTTGGTCACACAAATTGCTAATCAGCAGATCACATGACAGCAACTCAATGCATATATGCATCTAGACATAGTGAAGATGACTTGCTGAAGTTCAACCCGAGCATCAGAATGGGGAAGAAAGGAGATTTAAGTGACTTTGAACATTGTATGATTGTTGGTGCCAGATGAGCTGGTCTGAGTTTTTGAAAAACTGCTGATCTACTGGGATTTTCATGCACAACCATCTCTAGGGAAACGGAGACTCATCAGACCTGGCAATGTTTTTACAATCTTCTGTTCAATTTTGGTGGACCTGTGCGAATTGTTGCCTTTGTTTCCTGCTCTTAGCTGACAGGAGTGGCACCCAGTGTGGTCTTCTGCCGATGTTTCCCATATGCTTCAAGGTTCGACATGTTGTGCTTTCGGAGATGGTATTCTGCATACCTTGGTTGTTGTTGTTGCCTTTCTATCATTTCGAACCATTCTCCTCTGACATCAACAAGGCATTTTCATCCACACAACTTCCACTCACTGGATATTTTCTCTTTTGTGAATCCTAAAGATAGTTGAAAATTCAAGTGGATCGGTAGTTTTTGAAATACTCAGATCAGTCCCTCTGGCACCAACAACCATGCCACGTTCAAAGTCACTTAAATCCCCTTTCTTCTCCATTCTGATGCTCAGTTTGAACTTCAGCAAGTAGTCTTTACGTCTAGATGTCTAAATGCATTGAGTTGCTGCCATGTTATTGGCTGATTAGCAATTTGTGTTACAAAGCAATTGAACAGGTGTACCTAATAAAGTGGCCAGTGAGTGTACATGCGGGCCAGCCGCAGTACGATTCTTTTTTTTTTTTTTAGAGAAGGGTCCTGTGCTATTCAGTGCAGTGCGGGTGTAATTTCCAGTTTGATACACCTTAAAAATTTGCATTGAAATCACACTGCATCCCGGCCTGAAATATATCCCCATTCACACCTCAACAGTTAGAAGTATTATTCCAGAAGCAATTTACTCAGATTTCCTTGTTAATCTTTTCTGCCCATTCACGTCTGAGCGATGCGCTGCTACTCAAGGGGCATAAAAGTACAGGAGCCATCATCATGCAAATATTTTTTTTTTTTCCCCAAATATTTTTCCCAGGCCCCTGAAAAATTCACCTAACAACTGTCTTCTCCTAGTTACCAGGTTTCCACTGGTTGAAACATAAATGTGCAAGTCAGAAAAGTGCACCCACAAAAAAAAAAAAGCTCCAAAGACACATAAAAACTCAAGTGTGAATTTGCATTTCTGGTTTATTGTCCCAAAGCTTCTTTGAATGCATGACATGAGTTTCCCAGGAGGCTGCAGAGCTCCAGAAATGTTTGGCGCATGTGTGGTGCTTACCTGAAGGTATTAAACCAAAAATTTTGGGGGCTTGCAGGATGTAGTCAATTACTTTTAAAACAAAGAGTCAGTACAAGGGACAATCATACCAACTGTTATGTTCCTTTTTCTGATATTTTTTATTTGTGTTCTTGGCTGCACATAGGCTTTAAAGTGGAACTAAACCTATGGATTTACCAGTTTAAAGAAATAGTTACATTCCCGCCAGGCTGAGAATGCTAACTGTTGCATTTGCTTGTGTTATCAACCAAACTGTCATAGGCTACTAGTGTCATAACTGATCATATGGCAGTTGCAGATCAAACAGAGGCTAAGATAGTAGCTGAAAAGAATATAAAGGTTTAGTTCCACTTTAACAACCGAGGAAAAGTTCACCCTCTTTACCCACTAAAGTGGAAATTTACACATAACAGTCTGATAACAATTAATGTTCTTTAACCACTTGCCCTCCAGAGGATTTACCCCCCCCCCCCCCCCCCTTCCTGACCCCCATTTTTTGTGATACTGCACTGCGTTACTTTAACAAATTGCACCCTTGTGAATCATAGAAGTATAGCTAACAGAGCTTTGGCTATGCTTCTCTTTTAACCACCTTCCGTCCGCCCTATAGTACAATGACGGGCGCAAGGCGGTTTTCTCGTTCTGATAACATATGACGTCCTACCATTCTCACTGCGCATGCGCGGCTCAGGGAGCGCGCAGTGCGGCGATCACTGGAGGGACACAGCGGATCACGGAAAGAGCTGAAGATGTCGGCTCGGTCGTGTGATCAGCTGTGTCCAATTACAGCTGATCACATGTAAACACAGAAATGCCGGTTATCGGGAGAGGAGAGCCGGTAATCGGCTTTCCGCGGAGGGGACAGATGATCAGTGTGGCCCCAGAAGTGCCACCTGTCCGTGCTCATCAGTATCAGTGCCACACCAATGCCACATATCAGTGCATACCAGTGCACATCAATGCCACATATCAGTGCCCATCTGAGCTGCCTTTCAATGTCACCCATCAGTGGCAGTCAGTGCTGCCTGTCAGTGCCATATATCAGTGTCATGTATCAGTGCTGCCTTTCAATAGCCATCAGTGCAACCTACCAGTGCCTCCTCATCAGTGCCACCTATCAGTGTCCATCAGTGCAGCCTATCAGTGCCCATCACTGCAATCTCATTAGCGCACATCAGTGAAGGAGAAAAATCACTTATTTACAAAATTGTATAACAAAAACTAAAAACTCAAAATTTTCAGTGGTTTTTGGTTTGTTTAAGAAAAAATAAAAATCCCAGAGGTGATTAAATACCACCAAAAGAAAGCTCTATCTGTCTCAAAAAAATGATAAAAATTTCATATGGGTACAAATGTTGCATGACCGCGCAATTGAATTGTCATTCAAAGTGTGACAGCGCTGAAAGCTGGAAATTGGCCTGGTCAGGAAAGGGGTATAAGTGCCCTGTAGGCTAGTGGTTAAAGATAGCTGATCAACCTCTAGTAGCTCTGATTTTAGGCACAGGGCTGAGAATGGAGACCAATCGAACATGTTGCAGAGCAAGGTGGTTTCTAAATAGTATTATTCATAATATTTTTCATGGTTATACCTACAAAAGGGGACAACCTGAAGTAATCTATCAAAGAATTAATTTTCCACTTTAATATTTTCCCCCTATTTTCAGAGTTACATTTATTCATGCCTTTTTTATTTTAAGGTCCCTTCGCTTCTGTTTTTTTTTTTTTTTTTTTGCCTAGGTGAAAATTACATTTTCCCACAGTCTCCTGTGATACCCATGCTGTACGTCCCAAGAGGCTTTGGGGAAATCTTCCGAAAATGTGCATTTGCCACAGTATGTCAGGGTACTTGCTCTTCTTCCTACCCCTGTCAACTCCTGCTGGATTTAGGATCCCGGCAAGGATCATGTAATTCCTACATAAACTCAGCTCCATGTACATTCTAAAACATTTTGCACAGGACTTTTTTTCGTGAAGAATAGGTGCAGGAACTCAACCATGCGCCACTGCAAGCCCCTCCCATACCACCTGCATAGGAAGAGCATGCTGCATTAAAAAGGGTGGGTGTGGCCAAATTGCATTAACAGTGGGAGGGCCTCACAAAGGCATTGTTGATGGATAAGTTAACCTTTCATAACATGTTACATCCATATTCAAGGTGTAACATGTTATGATCAGACTGACCTTGGCTCCCCCACTTTGACAGCTAGCGGGGGATTTTCTCCCCCCCTCGCTAGCTGTGAAATTTAAAAAACATGGCCATGCATGGCCCTGTTCTGTGAATGAGAAACTACAAATCCCAACAGCCATAGCAGCTGTTGGCTTGTAGTTCTCAATGAACTATCATGGTGCTGTGGAGCCGTGGTATCCCTTGGTACATCCCGTACAGGCAAGCAGATATACTGACAGATCTGCAGGAGACCTGCATGACACCAGTGATCTTCTGATCGCTGGTGCAATGGTTTACAGGCTCCTGCAACAAAAAAAGTAATAAATGCACTTTTTAACTGGCAAAAAAATGTGTATTTTTTTTGTATAAAGGTGAACTTATCCTTTAAACACTACAGAGATATACACACAGGGTTCAGGCATACACTACATACAGAATGTAAAGCCGAGGAGTGCGCTGTGTGCAGGGCCTGAACCTATTTTGGACTTACTTCTCCTGTGGATCACATGAGTGTAGTTCTGTTACTCCTGTGACCTGTTTTTTCAGCTAACAGTGGCCTAAAGCCACAGATCCAATCCAGGCTCTGCAAGGATCCCGTCCATATGGCCGGGATCCACCCAAAAGCCTGGACCGCTTGCCGAGTGCTGGAGGGGGCAGAGCAGAGAGCCATTGACTGACAGTCACCAGCTCTCTGCTCACTGAAGGCTAATTGCTGAGTGATCAGCTGTCTTTCATCACTCAGTTCTCTGTCTTTGAGGCAGCAGGGGACAGATGCAGCATTGGCCCAATGCTGCATCCACCTGAGTGGATGTTGTTATTATTGTTGGGAAACACATTCTTTCCTTTTAATCCCTTCACGATGAGGGTAAAACAAATCCTAACACCTGAAAACAAATTTACAACTTTAAAGTGTTCTAAAACTGTACGTATGACGGGAACTGCTTAGTTCAGGTGGACTAGATAATTCAGGTGGATTATAGCTTTTTTTTTTTTTTCTTTTTTCCCCAGATCAAATTGTGCTTTCATATGGTAGTAAATGGTAATGAATATCTCAGACACCAAATAGTACAAAAAAAATGATCTGAATTGAAATGTAATTGTATATTTCTTGCTATTACCATAATTTACCACCAAAGAACAACCCAAAATAAATTCTACTCCTGACTCCTAATGCAGTAATACATATTACATATGTGTATACTATGTTTGTACCTATAGTAGGGCCCGGAAACAATAGTGAACATCTTGTTTTTTTGTTTTTTTTTTTCCTACTTAAAACGTACTGACCCTGATACAATCTTAAAAATTATGCTTTTTTTTATTCTACCTAAAACATCCTATCCTAATATCTATTGACACTGACCTACATCAAACCCTGATCTAGCTACAAACAATACTTTGTATCTTTTTCTCCCCACTGGAGGAGAAAATATAAACAATGTATTTTTTTTTTTCTCTTTTCATGAGAGAGAAAAAGCACAGGGGCAGGCTATTCCAGTGATCAGGTTAGCACAAGACCCAGCACTCTTGGTGAGAGCCCGGTCACTGTGCTGGGAGTGCGCTGTGCAGCTCGTTCCCAGCTCAAGCACATTTACGCATATATGCGGCTCCATAGAAAGGTCACATACATGTGTATATGTATGCGGTGGGAAGGGGGTAATGAACGTAGCTTTATCTCTGCTGATTTTAAAGAGGAATGTGTAGCTACAAAACTACTCTCTTTAGGGTTTTTGTTGCTAGATATAAATGAATTACACTCATTGAAAGGTTTGTTGCAATGATTTTAAGGATTGCATATTTACATCTTTTAACTGCTTCCTGACTGCCCTATAGCAGATGTACTGCTACAGGGTGGCACGGGTGCACAAAATCACATATACGTGATTTTACATTTCCGGGTAGGGGGCGCGTGCCCTACCCACGCTACCAGCCACAGCTGTCAATCGCCAGGTCCCGGCCAGTGATTACTCGCCGGCGCCCGGTGATTGCCGAGCATCTTTGACGGGGAGGAGAACTGTTTGTAAATAAAACAGTTCTCCTCCCTGTCAGCTCATGCACACTGCTTTCAATGGCTGTGCTTTTTTTTTTTTTTTTTTTTTTCTTTATAGCACTGATCACTGTATTAGTGTCATTGGGGATGTCCGTGAAACCAAGTCTGTTCCCTCCAGTGTCAGAATGCCCACCGCAGTCCCACTATAAGTCGCTGATTGCCGCCATTACTAGTAAAAAAAATTCCAGTATCTATACCGCCATTTGTAAACGTTATAGCTTTCACGTAAACCAATTAATTTACACGTATTGGGATTTTTATTTTTTTTTTTAGTAAAGACATGTAGCAGAATACATTTTGGCCTAAATTTATGATGACATTTTGATTTTTTTTAAACATTTTTTACTGGACATGTTTAATAGCAAAAAGTCAAAAATATAGTTTTTTTCTCAAAATCGTCGGTCTTTTTTTTTTTTATAGCGCAAAAAATAAAAAACCGCACAGGCGATCAAATACCACCAAAAAGCTCAAATCGTGGGAAAAAAGGACGCACATTTAATTTGGGTGCAGCATTGCATGACTGCGCATTTGTCAGTTAAAGTAACGCAGCGCTGTAGTGCAAAAAATGGCCTGGGAGGGGGGGGGGGGGGGTAAATCCTCAGGAGGGCAAGTGGTTAAGATTAGCTACAGAACTGGAAGCTTTAGAAGCTGCTCATGTTATCCAGTGCAGCCTTAGCCATCACTAACCACCACTCCTTTGTTTCTGCATTATAGTCAGCTACAGAAGCAACATTGTAACCAGAAATGCCCAAAGAAAAGAGGTTGAAAGCTTTGTAGCTGCTACTCATTTTTTCTACAAAGTTACCAGCGTTACAAAACCTGATGCCAGATGGATGCTTCTGCTGATAGTGACAATTCGCCAGCAGCAGGATCCCTAAGAGGCTTCCTATCTGTCTCTGTGAAATCGCTGCCTTGCAAGCGGAGGCAGCAAAATGTCTCTCTCATCACTAGCATTCAAGATTCAGCAGAGTTTGGGCAAGCAAATATGTGATTCTATGGAAGCAAGTGGAAGCACTCTACCTATTGGTGATTTCTCGCTAATGGCAGAACCTCCTATCTAAACTTAGCCTTAATCATCCCTAAGGAAAAGCTGTCACCTTGCTCATTCTGAGAAAAGCAACAATTTCTTATAGGGCCCCCCTAACATGCTAATGCTCACCTTGCCAGGTCTCCAGCCATTTATTCCTCCTGGTGATAACTAGTGTCAGATGCTAGGTGTAGCAGCAACATTACCTTCTCTGTTGTGTGACAACGCTAGACCCCTGCACCATCACACGAGAGAAGGCCACATGCTCCCACTTACCCAGAAGCTTTAGGTATTGTTGCCAGAGAAGGGGTGGCAAGGGAGTGTTGGCGCAAGATGAGTATCATTGAGTTGGGTGAGCCTTTGCAAAGACATTGTCACTTTACCCTAAATGGGCAAGGTGACAATGTCTCTTTAACCCAAATCTAGCCTCACCTTTTTAGGACTCATTCAGACAGGCAATCTGGAGCAGCCACCAGCCAAAGTCAGTATTACCCGTGGACATGTACACAGTGTATGTGAGCAGCTTTGGCCTGCTGATAGGTGGTTACATTCAGTTTGGGAATCTAGCCGGCCCTGAGTACAGACAGTTTGTTTTCAGGAATGACATTTCTGGCCTCAACTAACCAGCCGGTTTGTATGTATCATAGCCATAGTGCTGCTATGTCCCGAGGCAGTGCTGTTCAGCTTCCAGAACGTAGCAGCCTATCCGCTCCAGTTTGTCTGTCTGAATGAGCCCTTAATTATTCCTTGTGTCAGGGATGTGCCCTCTCGCTGTGTTTGCTGTACCTT